CCCCAAAACCCCAAAACCCCAAAACCCCTTTTAATTAATTATTTAAATAATTTTATGAATACATCAACACCTGGTCCACTTATTGATCAGTTAAGGAAGTCTACTCAGAGACAGAAAATGTGTCAGCTGTACTATATGGTCAAGAAAAAAGAGTATGACCAGTCCAACAATAAGGAGAACTGAAGTAAGGTTCAGCTCTAAACCATAGTTCCGTTTAGTTATGAAATCACCAGAAGTCCTTCCAAGAAAATTTTATCCAGCAAAGTAGTTCAGGAAGAACAGCCGCTATCCTTAGATAGACATAAAGATAGCAAAATTCATATCAAACAAGTGCAAAAGGTAAATTGCAAAATAAATTTCTTCACCAGATGCCTATTATTCATAAATCTTGAAATAATTTCATCAAATAGAGCGATTATTTTACATGCAATTAAAAATGAGAACAACAAACCTCAGAAGAAGCCTACAAATTCCAGATCTAAAATAAAGACAAGCAAGAAAAATAAATCTGATGCATTGAAGAAAGGAATCAACTATAATGACTGAGTGGATGCATTGAATAAAATCCAGAGATCTATCAAAACTAAGAAAGTTAAGAAAAGAAGAGGAACTGATAATTTTCAAAAACTTCATAAAGATATTGAAAGAGGTCGCTCAAGAAGCCAGAAAAGAAAGAATATTAAGTAAAGAATGTGCTGATCTTATTAAAACCTTAACTTTTGATCAAAGAATAGTTTGGACTGATCCAAAAGAAGAGAGCAGTGCAGTCCCAATTAATGCATATAACTCTACTAATGCTGCTAATCATGAACGTAATAAAGTTGTCCTCCCACATTTATTTGGAATAAAAGCTGATCGGTCTGTCCAACAGTTTTCTTCAACTTTCCATTTTCAAGAGTCAAAAATAAACTCGAAATTCATGAGAAAGTAAGTTGTATCTCACCTAATCTAGCTCCAACAGTTCAAAGCTATCATACTCCAATATGTACGAAACACTTAAAGAGAAAACAAGGAGGAGTTTATCCCCTAAAGAACCTACTCCTAAATTTAATAAAAAATTTAAGAAGTATCTTCATAAGAGAAAGAAGAGTACAAAAGGTGCTTTACTAATTTAGGAACAAATAAATTTGATTCTGGAATGAACCTGACTCAAGAAAGTAACCAATCAAAGCAGAGGATGCAGTCAAAACCCTCTGCTAGGGACTCTTCCATACAGGATCGGAAATACAGACCAAGAATAATGTCCTCTCAGGAGGTCAGGATTCCTTCTCGGAAAGTAAGGTAATACTTCATGAGTTAGAACCAGAAGACATTGTTTCAGCTAAAAAGGGATAAGCACAAAAAAAAATTACTCAATAGCTCTAAAGAGTTAGATAAAGAAGTCCAATCAGTCGATAGAGAACAGAGTAAGGATATCGTACATAATTCTCAGTCCCAAGGAAAAGAAATATCAAAGATTTCATAGGATTCTTTAGAAAATAGCCTTGAATGGCAACAGAAGAGGTACCTATTACTGCCTTAACCTTAGGAACAAAAAAGTAGAGACTCTGAAGAAAAACTATGAAAAAGAGGCTATTAAGGAATGTACTTTTCAGCCAATAACAGGGAGAAGACCAAGATCTCATGATAAACCAATCAAGTCTAAGACTTCACAACTAATCAAGAATTGTGGTAAGATCTAACGGTCACGATTCATAGCTTCTCTCAAAAATGAGAATGTGAATAAAGACATTCATGAAGATTTGAAGAATAATTGATATCAGAATGTTCCAAAAATTAAACAGAAAATAAAAAGTATCCAGAATAACAAAAGAAGACTCTACTCTCCAACACATGGAAAGGATGACTACTCTTCTCAATTTCTAAGAGTTGAAGACTTCAAAGAAATCAATATCCTTCCTGGAGCTGCAGAAATATTAGGAGAAGTTGTTGAAGTCAAGGTTGATAAGAATTCTTGATGAAATCTCAGTCAGAAGGAGAATAAGAATGTATCAGGTCTTAAAGCTGTCAATCTTTTGGAATCATTTAATAACACGAAAGAAGAGATTCAGGAAAATAATCAACCAGATCCTTTGGAGCCTTCTACGATAAATATTCCTCTTGAAACTAAAAGATTATCGAAAGCGGAGGAGGATGTAAGCAAATTGAAACCGCCCATTCCTCATCCTCCAATGAAAATCAAGAGCACTAGTCCATTATCGAAGATTACTGAGAAGGATGAAACACTGTTTGCACAGACTGAATCATTAGATTTTACAGCACAAATGGAAGGCATAGATGAAGCATCATGAGACCCTTCTTACTCAATTCATCAGAAAAGTTATGCGGAGAAAACACAATTTCTAAATGCAACAGCTAGTTTTGAATTCGAAGATTTTAACTCAAAAGATTTTAAAGAGCATTCTGTTATAGAAGAAAGAAGTGCGCTGCTTAAATCTAAAGGAAAGATAGAAGACTACTGATCCACAATTTCTTGAGCTTCAGTGACATCTGAATCTGCTCATGCTCAGATCTTATTTCCTACAAATGCTCAAAGAGTCACTCTAGTGCAGATGAGAAACAAAGAAAATGAGGATGGACGGTAATTTTTAGCATTAATAATATAGAGAGATTTTAGCCAAGGATGATCAGACTCTTTACTCATATGATGAAGAAGTCGTTGTGACTGAAAAGATGACCTATGAATCTCTCCCTAGCTACCTCCTAGACCAATTTGAAGAGTAAAAGACAAAATTGTATAATTATTCAATAATAATAGAATTTAAAGGGGTTTTGGGGTTTTGGGGTTTTGGGG